GAAACACCGCGCCCACTACATGAAAGAGATTTTTCGTGCAATATCACCCCGTGGCGGATAGATTCGACTATAGACAATGCCTCTCTCAATGTAAACAAGTACCATTTTTTTGGTAAAAAACGCGATTTTGCAGTCTTTTTGCGCTCAAACAAAAACATTATCGAGAAAAGAATCTTGTATACCGATGTCGATCTGGTCTTGCCATTTTACTTGCTATAAGTCTCGTTGAGCATCGGCCTATGTCATGTTTCACGTTTGCCTATCACTCACTCATCCTTTAAGGCACACTGGATCCTCCCTAGCCTTTCTACTCATACAAGTATGATTCTCATCTCATTAGAACGTGGTCCAGGTGTCAAACGTAAGTATTCTGACTCAGTTTCTGATTTCTGGCTGAGCATAATCAACTCAACGACGTCTGATAGAAGCTCATAAGACAAAGGTTTCGTGTAGCGAAAGCACCTATGCAATCAGTTGGTAATCTTTCTCGTAGTTTTTTTTCTTAAGTCGATCGAAAGAGTTCGGAAGTATCATGTTATGCTCTAACAGGCTTGACTATGTGTGGTTTTAGGAAATTTTCACCTAAAGATGCTACTTTGTCTAATGGACATAGAGGCGTTCCATATAGCGGACTGTGTCCGCGACGAGGTGCTATTACACAAAAAATATTTTCTATGCAGCCAGTGACGTGTTTACCTCACATGTCTGCATGATTCTATCATGTACTCCCATATCTCGAAATATAGCTCCAAAAGTCGAATTGTTCCACTAGAAAGACTATCCAATTTTATGATCAAACATGTTTTCAGTGATGTTGCATCATTTCCACACAGCAGGACTGCTTAGAAAAACACATTTTTCAAAAATGTGGTTGGCTCTGCATGGATCCATACTAAGCTTCCATTGTTTTCCTCAGCAAATTCTCGTTTTTTTTGAAGGCTCACAATACTCGCCAAAACAAGTGATGCTGCTGCTAGATGCTACTTGAAAACTAATCAGATTTCATTATGAGTAACATAAGCGTGTAACTAAAAGTTTTCAGTTTATGTCTCAACTGTTCGCCACCTCAATGATTACACACATACGGCCTGCTAGAGTAAAAAATGCTCTATGAAACGCACCAAACCGTGAAAAAGAGCCCTTGGATTTTTTTTAACACCCTACAACATTCTTTCCGTTCTCTCTTTTATGAAAATTGTTTGCAGTGTAAAATCATCTTCCAGGTCACCGAATATTTTATATTCGATCGAAAAACCTTACCTTGCGACCATCGTCGAATAGCATCAGCACCGCTTGCGCTGATTTCAGCAACACCTTCCGAAGTCAGAACTTCACAGGTTGAGGAGAGGACGATCAAACATGGTATCCCTGTGACGTTGAATTTCTCGCTGAGTGTTTGCTTGCGAGCTCGATCTGTCAACAAAGAGCATATAAACAACGTTCATCAATTCGAAAGAAATAAAAACATAGTGGAGTAGCCGTAACGTCATGTTGCTCCTGACTCTTAAAAACTATTCCTGTCTTATTTTCATATACTACGCTGAATCGTCCCGCACAATTAGATATTAAACTTGAACAAAACTTTCGAGCTGTGAATCAGGAGTGTTCCCCATTGATTGAAGAGAGAAAAGTCGTCTGCTCCGAGTGCCAGAATTTGATGGTGTCAGATGGTATTCATCTAGATATCATATACGAAATGAAAAATTGCAGAGGACTGCTATCTCTCTAGAAAGTATACTCTTTTCATTTTGCCTAGCATTTTTGCAATCACATCGAAGGAGTAAAACAGAACTCTGTTGTTTTGCCGCATCTCAGAGGGGAGGAAAATGGAATGAAAGAATTTCTTCGTTGTAACGATAACAGCTGTGTATCGAAATTATTGCTGAAATATATCATGCCACTACAAGAAAAAATGATCTATATGAATAAAAGAAAAAAAACCATCTCGACTCTGAGTGATATCTTAGTTCTTCACGAAAGAAAGATTGACCTACCCGGGTATGGCAATGCTTTCCATGGCATTTCTTGGTAATAGTGATCAAAAGCGCTTTCGTCCTTATCCGAGGACACGAATACAATGTCAAACTTGTGGTTCACGTTGTTGTAAATGCTGTTGAACGCTTCAACCAATTTCGGTGTGAAAGTAACCGAAGGTGGACACCAGTGGCCACTAGAAAAGGAATTTATCAATCAATATGATAAGAGTAAACTTACGAGAAATAGAGACCGATTGTCTTGCCATGGAGTTGACTCGTGCTTATGTACGTGTTGCTCCCGGCACTTCCATCACTACTGTGCTGGAGTAATTGATCACCGAGCAACTCGATTAACGTCATATCCTGCTTCACTGCTACTTGTTTGGTATATTACGACGCTGTTTGAAAAGGAACTGGCACGGATCGTATTCCGAAAGCTCTTTGATCAAATATATGACGAATCTGGATTATTTCTCTTCT